GCATATCCCCCATCTTAATTTTTTTTGGTCGGAGGAAGCCAGGAGGGGGTATCGCCCAGGGTGCCAATCTGTGTAGGATGACCACTGATTCCAGGTTAAGCAATAACATCTCCTTAGAAACAAGGAGGTTAAGTTTTTTTTTTTTTTTTTTTTTTTTTTTATACTGCACCTAATGTCAAATGGAACCAAACAAGCAAGACTTGAATATATATCAGGATAACCCACGCAAAGAAAGACAAAGTAAGATTTTACTGTCTTTACCCTCCCCACAAAAACTGAATACTCTAGATGGCAAATTAACGTGTTAATTGATTATTTTGATTAGCTGTCGTAGCCCTAATCACATCATTTATCTTCCCTAAGTCTTCAATGTGTGTAATGTAGCACAAGCAATAGTTCGCCTCTGATAATCTATAAAACATTACAGATTATTACATAAAGCACCAGCTATTTCCTGCTTTTATTTGAAATACTGTTCACAACTCAAGTATAATTGCTTAAATGACTTACTTATAAACACTTACCAACTGAATAAGCAGCAAAACATCGCAGAACTTTTTTTTTTTTTCCCTTAAAATGTAGTTATTTGTCTAAAGTGGCTTAATAATTATAGAAACAAGGACTACTGATGTCCTTGTTTTATTGTTTTTGAAAAAGTAACATTTTTGACACAGAATCCAAATATCTTGAATGACTGCAAGTACAGGTCAGTGGGCAGAGATGGGGGTAGGTGAAAACAGCAATTTTCCGAACATTACAGGATTACTCAAGCATACTCAATTATTTGTTATACATCTTTGAGTAAATTAATAAGGGAACACTTGTATAACTTATAACTTGGGTAAAAGCTTAAAAAGTTGATTTAGCATAATATGCAGTAATATGTATACAAATCTTCTGTTAGCTGCTTAAATATTTCTCCTCTCATTCTATTTACTTTACATATTTCTTAACAATATCCCATTGGTAAAGGGAGCTTGTATGCAGAGCATCCAGGTGGTGAGTAGGTCTCTGGCAGCACCTAGTGGCCACAGGTGCACACACGCTCTGCTGTGGAGCTCCAGGGGGGGCGCTGTCCATGGTGCTGACTGCTGTGGGCCGTCAGTGCTCCCTGCTGCTCACACTGGAACTGCAGCCCCCTTCGCACACTAAAAGAGAGAGCCTAACAACTCATGCTCCTGCATAAGAAGAGAGATGGAGATCACTATACTTGATCTATTTAAATCTATGAGTACAATTTGATTGTACTCATAGATTATTGCCATTTACCTTAATGCCTTTTTAAATTTTAACGTGTGTATTCATATCTAGAATTATTTTTACTTTTAATAATTTATTTCATGGCATTTTTATTTGAATTTACCCATTTATTAGTGAGTGGACTGTGATGTAATTATTCAGTAAAGTAGCTTGTTGGGATAGATGCAATAGCTGATTTTTTTATCTTACAAATGGATGACAGTTATTTAATACAGGAGCAATCATCTATACTCAATAACAACTACAATTTCTACTATTGTTATTGCTTTTAGAGCTGCTGCTACTACTACTACTACTACTACTACTTTCCTACTCTTCTTCTACTCCTCTGCTACTATTTTATTTAGTTCTGGCTTAATAGCAAATAATTCTACCAGCTCTTTGAATGGCTAATGAATAACCTGATCCTATGAATGTGTAAATGAACTAGATTTCTTTATACCATCACTTTGCACAAGCCTTTTCTTTTTCCGTAGACCCATAAATTTCATTTATAACAACAAAAAGCTGCATTTTAACTATATTCATGGCCTATAGAAACCCACCACTAGTTACAAGTCTGTTTTGCTTCATGTTAACTAGATCTGTACGCGATGTATCCATAATTAACTCTGTGTGCCCCATGTTGCCATATACTATAACATAAGCTGCATATTCTCCTCTACCTGACCAGCGCACGGCCGGAGACACTCTATCCCCTGTGTATGAGCGCCCTTCTTCCTGTTCTTATTCTAATTAATGACACCACACAATTGATTGTTTAGTGTGTGCGGGTACAGAAATGTGTTTGGAATGAATTATTATTAGCCGGACAAAAGAGATGAAATATTAGGCGTTAAGTGGGGCCCGTAATAGAATTCCTCATAAAAGGTCTATTGATCAGGGTGTGTGGGCCTCCAGAGCATTCACATATCACAGCGTCTTAATTACACACCAGCTCACAGTGCAGAGGTCGCAAAAAGTGACAGACCAACATACAACTAATGTCGCGTGGTTTAAAGGTGTACTACGGAACATCAGCGCATCTATATGGAAATAATATCACTTTGTCTAGAAAGTTCCACAGTAAACCTAGACAAGCAGGTTGCAGCACTACGCTACATTACAGTTCAGATCTGTGGACAGTGGCCCCTATTCACAGAAGGAATTATTATGTTTTTGAGCAACAGGAACACCCAGAATGAATAAATGCTAGATGGATATATTTAATAGCAATAAGATCTCCATGGAGACAAGTAAGTAGCAGACCTTTCATCAAAGTTGAGCAGTGCACCTTTAAAAGAGCCAGTCAGTTTGATTTTTTCCTTCACCCCAGACACTTCCTCCAGCTCCTCCGGGAGGACCATCCAGGTGGGACATGCCCAGAACACCTCCTGAGGAAGGCACCCAGGAGGCATCTGGAAAAGATGCCTAAGCCGCCTTAGCTGGCTCCTCTGGACCTGGAGGAGCAGTGATTCTACTCCGAGCTCCTCCTGTGTGACCGAGCTCCTCACCCTATCTCTAAGGGAGTGCCCAACCACACTGCAGAGGAAACTAATTTCGACCACTTTTATCCGCAATCTTGTCCTTTCAGTCATTACTCAGAGCTCATCACCATAGGTGAGGGCAGGAACATAGATTTACCAGTAAATCGAGAGCTTTGCCTTTCGACTTTCGACAACGGTTCAATAAGCTACAAACATTTCAAGTTAAATGTTATATTAAAAACAGTTGATAATTATAACTATATAGAAAATCCCTACTATACTCTAAACTCCCCTCCTTCCTCACTAGTATTTACTATACTTCAAAATTGCTATTTGAATGCAGTTAGCAAATCACATTTTTGAAGTACTATAATTTCCTCGACAAACTACAAAATATCTTAGGTCTTAGGTCTGTACAAACACGCTCTGAAATGTGGTTTTGTAATAGTTTGTTTCAATTCATTTCAGTCTGTCTTTTGGTCAATTCTTCTGGATGTGTTTAAAATGTGAACTTTGAGCAGAATCCTATTAAAACATTAATCGCTAATTGCAATTGCTTGTCAGGAAAAGAAAATGTGCAGCCCTATATCAAAACTGGTAATCTTATTAAGCCAGGGAAGCACAAAATTTCGTATTTCAAAACAGCTAATTTGAGTTATTTTTTTATCAGACTTTTAATTAGATTGCATGTCCTTTCCGCAGTTTGAATCCTGCATAATTAATCACTTTTTCTTATTTTGAAATGGTGATTGTTTTGACCTTTTGCCAGTCAGCCCGTCTTCTGTCTGACTTTTTCCTCTTTTCCGTTCACGGCGTGCCAACTGTGCGCAGTCACTCACCACTTCTCGTCTCTCTGGGGTGCTCGCGTGGTCCCTGCTCGCCCATGGGTGCCCGCGTATCACCCAGCACCTGCTTCGCCACACTCACAGCAGCAGGCCCCTTGACCTTGTTCACAACAGGATGTTCTTTCGGATCAATGCCCGAGTTTGCCACCCATAACTGCGCCCATCTGTCAGCAGAGACCATTGATCGGTCTGATGGAGTTCGGCTGTGACATTGTGTAGTCTGTACAGTGCAGGGCATAAAACCGAACACTTTTTGAGTAGTGATGTTCAAAAATATTGATATGTCATGATACTACATTTGGTGATGCAGTATCGTTTTCGTGGGCAGTTGTATCAATATACACAGTTGGGCAAGTTACTTTAAAACTGTAATGTGTTATTTATTACTTATTAGTGTCATTTCAAAGTAAATTGTTACATTACAATATTACTGTATTTAAAATGTACGGCATTGCATTACAATTGCATTACCTTTAAGATACTCTCACCAAAATAACTGTGAAGATGCTGAACTTTTGCACCATATATGCACTGAACCAGGACTAAACCAGGACTGAACCGAGGACTGAACCAGGTTTAAACCAGGACTAAACCAAAAGTGAACTAGAGCTGAACCAGGACTGAACCAGTACTAAAACAGAACTGAACCAGGACTAAACCAGAACTGAACCAGGACTGAACCGAGGACTAAACCAGGACTAAACTAGATCTAAACCAGGTCCAAACCAGGACTAAATCAGGACCAAACCAGGACTAATCTTGGACTAGAACTTGAAAGCCTTGCAAACACCCTGTCTGCCCGGCGCGATCGGTCATCAGGTGCTCTTCTCCCCGTGGAGCGCAGAGTTCAGCGTCGGTCCTTTCACCCACAGTTACCTGACGGTCTACTCGGGCGCATCTCTGGCATTTCACCGCTGCTGATATCACCGTGATTTTAACAAAGTAGTATGAAGAAAAACGAAAAACCCACCATTTCAATCCAGGTTAAAAATGCATTGTAACACGCGTTACTGACATGTGTTCCGAGTAAAACATAAAATTTTTTTTCCCCTGTAATGCCTTACATTACTGCGTTACAGCAAAAAGCAATGCATTACAGTAATTTGTTACTTTTATAACGCGTAACTCCCAACACTGTCAATATATAGTGTGTTTTGTGTGTTTAGAATAACTAAATATGTAGAATTTGTGTGTTAAACATGTCCAAATGAAGCACAACTCCAGGTATGGACAGAGTTTCTCAAACATACATGAATGAAATAAAACCTCAGATATGTTTTTGAGGAGGTAACAACATTATAATATGACTTAAAGCTCACAAGAGTTATTTTTGTGTAAGACCTTTAACTATTACTTTATAAATTGACCTTTATCTGTTACATATATAATATAAACTTTCTTTTTTTTTCCCTCTTCTTCTTTTTTTTAGGTACCAATGTTCATGAAGCCAAGAGGATCCTATCTGAGAGCGGTCTGCCCATCACAGCTGCAGATGACCTGGACGATGCTGCCAAAAAAGCCGTGGCCGCCATCAGGAAGTGACCCCCCCCACACCTCCTCTCGCAGCCCTCCGGTTTAACACTAGCACTGCGTTGCTAGTTTGTCTGATCTGTGCTAAAGAAAGACCAGCACCCGAGCAGGTTTTTCACACAGATATAAGCTGCTCTTTGTTCCCTTGGAGGTGTTGGCATTAGAATCATGATGAGGTGAAACCATGTGACCTTAGACGTACACTAGTGCATTCCATTTATGTTTTTGCCTTTGGCAGATTATAATTTCATTATTTTATTTGATAATTATTTGATATATATAATAGAAGTAATTCATTTTAAGCCAAATGTGTAAAAAGTAGCCAGAAATCAACAAGAAGCCTTTTTCTGTGTGTTCATGAAAACCAAAAACCATGTGCTCAGATGGGACTTTTTGTAAATCCTGTCTTATATATGAGCTACTTAAAGGGAATGTGCCAACAGTACCAAGGCAACACTTTTAAATAAATACAGAAATAAAAATATAAATAATAGAAGCAATAGTTTCCTATAGAAAAGTGTCATAGTTACAGTTTTTATAATGTACAGAACATGGTCAGTGCGGAAATGTTATATAATTTGACAATAAAAAATGATTATTTTGATGATTTTCTTTTAGCATTTTTTTTTTAATTCCCATGCAACAGAACGTACAATCTTACAGAGGAGTGAAGCTAACATGCTGTATATGCCATTGTTCACTTATATTACATTTCTGATCATTTCTAGGGTCAATACAGGACACAATCTACACATAAAAGTGAAGTTTTGCAATAAACTTAGTCGAGACGATGTGCTGTTTGAACCTTTCCTGGAATACTGACAGTGACTACGTTTACATGCACATCAAAATCTGATTATTATCTGATTTCAGTTAAGATTAAATGACATGCAAACTGAAAAACTGATAGTGAAGGACCATTCTCAGAAAGAATCAGATTATTTGCTTTTATCTATTCCTGCTATAGGAAAGTCAGTGCCAATTTACAAGCACCGAGTTCACTGTGGCCACCCTAAAAGACTACGAGCAATCTAAATCCAATCATTTGGTACTTTCAGCCCTGGAATTGCCAATCTCTACTAAACAAAAGGTAAAAGGAGGTGTTAACTTGAAAACTACCGATTCGCTACCGATCACAAGATTGGACAGAGCTTTTTGAGCTTTAGCGATGTAGCCAGACTAATAATACATTGTAACTGAAACATGTGAATGAAACAAAACACACATCGAGGAATGTTTTTGATGAGGTAACCACATTATAACACGTCTTAAAGCTCACACATTACTTTTACATAATATAGGACTTTTAAATTGCATTGACCAGATTTGGGTGCAATCATTACTGAGTTCCAAAGAATTAAGATATATGTGCTTAATAAGTTCATGTTGTCTGCAGTGAAACAGAGCAAAGGATCATGGTAGTTCTCTCATTCTTTTAGCATTAGTGTTGCCTTTAATCTGAGGTTTGTAATTTGATCTATTGTGAGGGCTCATTTTATTCTTGTGAAAGTTTTGACGATACAATATCACAGTATTTCTGTTATTGTTACTTCTCATATACTTGCAAAATAAGTCTCCATAGACAAAGACATTTTTATTTAATTTTTTATTTATTTATTTTTTATATATATACAGATTTCGATAAACAATAGTAGATACTAGTATTAACTGATACCAGAGCAGAAACTGAAAACAGCATTTATTTCCTTTAAACTAGAATAAAATAAGACTGATCCAAATGTGTTATGGAGCTGTTACTACCCTGATTCATCAGCCAGTTTCACTTTGTGGAAACCATCTGACCTCACACCATTAGGATTCATTGGCTTGACGGAGGCAGGTGCTTTTTTATTTAAACAACCGCTGGTATTTGGTCACATATGTAATGCGCCAAATCCTGGATGAAGAAGGGGAAATAACGCCTTTCCTTTGATTCACCAATTCACCAAACATTCTCTTTATTCCGGCTTTAAATCCTCGATCTCGAGAATCGTTGCCAACACAGAATTTATGGCTTCGTCTGCATCCATCTCGACCGCTTTGTTTACTGTTGTGCTGTACCACAAAAGGGACTCAGACAGGAGCTTGAATTTGTCGTCTCTTCGCTGATTGGCCAGTGTGTGGGCTACAACTTCCAGGGTTCTTGTAAACAGTCTAGTGTATTCCGATTCCTGACCTAGTCGCTGGAGAGAAATGAAATTGAGCAGAGGCACTAGGTGACGCCAGCCTGGCTACCACAGAACAGCTTTGTATAAATAAAAGTTCAAAAATGATGAGACTTTCTGGTCCATCCATGACCAGTAAAGTCTTAATACACGTCCAACCGTCATATCAACTGAACTGACATTTGGAAGCCAATATTTGATCCAGCAAAGTTTTCAGTATTGGTGCCGATGTCCAACAACAGTCTTGGATCGTATTACGTCTGATTTGGCCCTTATATCCAGCTCCCTGGATGCCTTTCACCTAACTACTCCAATGTTAGACACAAAGTAGTTGCACTTATCAGCAGAAGTCATCTAAAAAGCGCATACTCAGACTTGTCTCACTCTGTGGCCGTAGCATATACCCAGACTTGGCGCGGCGTAAAAATGGGCTGAAGGGTTCAATAATTGCCTTATTTCATGCTCTCCCCTCTGCGTGTCAGGACTCTCCCCGCTGATGGATTGGATGGAGGAATTTAAAGCTTGTTAAGGCACAGCTTCTCAGACCCATAATATTGTTTAATTCCGAGTGGAGCTAGAGGTCACGACGAAATGTGCACACTGATTTACTAGCCAAAATTAGCGACCGCTCCTTTATATAAATATAGATGAGCTTTTGGAGGTCAGCCTGGAGACTACTTCCCTGATTTTCACTGGTCTTCCACTTCAGCAGGTGGAGAGAGGGGAGGGGAATGTAAAATGGCCGCCTCGTTTAATTAAGCTGAATTATTATGCCATTGGAGTTGTATTTTTCTCCCCAGGCAGCGCTGCGCTATTTGTCTTTGTAATTGTCTGTTTTGCTTCCTCAAACTGCTTGTGAATTGATGTCAAACGGTAATTGCCACTTTATGAAGCCGCCGAGAGTGTTTAAGTACGGTAGGGGAGGGAGATGCTCTGAGACAAGCGGGTCAGTCTTGTCTCCTCTCAGAAGTATGGGCTATTTATTGTGCTTTTGTAAAGGCACAGTGAATGCATCGCTTGAAAAAAATGGCACACAGAAGTATCGAAAATCATTAAAGACACCGCACAATCGTCACAGAATTGCTGGTATCTTTAATGATTTTCGTGGAAGCTACTTAGAGTGGGGTCCATACAACTTTTCAAGAGGGCCAGATCTCCAAATGTATGGTAAACACACGATAATGTTTTGATTGCATTTTCATAGAAAAAAGGGCAAGTCATTTTGAAAAGTTTGTTTTATATTTTTTTTATGCATTTATTTATCTGGTCAAGTTATTAAGTCCAAGCAATGTACAGAAAAGGGTACTTTTTTTTGTGGTGGTGGACCAAGTTTTGTCACTTAAATAAAAGTACAGATACTGAAGCAAAACAGAATATATATATATATATATATATATATATATATATATATATATATATATATATATATATATATAATATATAAAATATTCAAGTAAAAGTACCACATGAAAACTCTACTCAGCTAAAAGTATTATATTTTGCTTTTAAATGTTATTTTATTTTTTTCAGTGAAAAATTAAAAAGTGAAATTGCTAATAATATACAAAATGTAATATATATTGTTGAAGTGAAATGTGTTTTGAGGAACTGCATTTGGCCATCAAAATAATTTTTTGGTGGAGAATCATCTACCTACTTGTCCCTTGTTGATGTCCTTGCTAGAATGTTCCAAAGTGAGGCATTAAACTGTGTTATATTGCTCAGAAATGCTGAAAGCAGGGTAGCCTCTCCATAGATTTAACTTGTAACTTGGCATGGTGGCACCCCACTGTTTATCACCATGAAAAGTTTAATACCTTAGGTATAGTCAGTGCATAAAAGTACAATTCAAATCATCTACAAAGCCATTTCTTCTGAGAAACATAAGTGCATAAGGAACACAGTGGATCAACTCTGAGCACTTTGTTTTAAACAATGTCTGAGTATTTGCAGCCATCCAGATCAGAACTTTTCTGTCACCAACAATCACCCGTCAGCTGCTCTGAGTCTCCACGTGTCAGATATATGTTCAGTGTTCTATATAAAGACACTGTTGTAAACACCAAACACATGTTTGCTCCTCACCTCACAGATAGTGTCTCTGTCACCTCCTCACACCACATGCGTTTTGACAGCTATTGTCGAGGAAAGAACAACTCACCTCGGGTGTGATGGGATATTTTGCTGCTACCTCTGTCTAGAGTTGGACAATATGGGGATAGAAATGTAATCGTGATCTTGTTCCTGTAATGTATATTTATTTGTATTTATTTGTATTTCTAATACAGAGGAATATCTGTCTAGTCACCACGCCTTCTGGTGCACCTCGATCCAGATCCCGACAGTACTGCAATCACGTTTGTTTTTTTGAGTGACACATGTGAAACAAAGGTGTTCATGGCCACTTATCATTTAGAACAGACTAAGAGAATTTCCTTCTTCCCTCATTGATTCTGCAGATATCTGCATTTTTTTCCAATCCCCTGAGATATTTTTTTTCCTTTCTTTTTTCTTGGTAGGTTTAACCAGTTGCAATAAATTGTGGATTTTCAGAGGAAGCAGGTGACTGTTGTACCTCTACAATATACTAATTATGATAAGTCATGATGTGACTCCAAAAAAAGGTGATGTTTTCTTTTTGTTTTTTTCTTTAGGCCCACCTCTATCTCTGTCTCTCTTTTGGCCTTGAATTCACAGCATAAAAACATTTATCTCTGTATCCATATAATGGAAGGACTCTATTGATTTGAATACCCTGGAGCTGTTTCAAAAAAATTGAGCGTAAGAGAAGAAGGATTTAAAAAGTTGGAAAATACACTTGCGGTATCTTATTTTACCATGACAATCTGTTCTTCGCAGACATCTCTCAATCAATAACAATGCAGGGTGTCTCTTAATACGAAAGGTGTTTATGAAAAGTTGGTGGCCTAACGGAATTCATCAACTTCACTTTGCTAATTTCCATCTTTTTTTTATTTTTTTATTTGGAAGCCATACTTTGCCAATTTATCTTCCCGCTCGTCTCTGCTGTCAACTCTTTTCTTGTTGGACTTCACCAGTACATAATCCATCTTGCTCTCATTCATCACATCCATCAAAAGTTAATTTGCTCCCAGTGTCAATCAGCATCCAAGCAGCAAGTGCCCTCCAGTAACATTGGCACGCGTGGAAAATATGAGCGAGAAGGTACATACATAATAGTTTATTCCAAGATTGTTTTATTTATTGTTTAAATTGTTATTTTTATTTTTACTAATTCTGACAATTTTTACTGTAACTTTTGGATACAGTTGCTATCCCATGCAAAATTTGTCTTGGGATGGGGTAGCATGCTTTAAAGGTGCACTGCATAACATTTGTAGTGAAGGGTCCACCACCTAATGTCTCTATGGAAATATTATTGCTTTGTCTAGAATGTTCCACAGTATAGATTAAACCTATT